GGAATACAGCCTCAGATGCAGTTTGGCTTCACACCATCAAAATCATTGATACGGTAAATGAAAACCACTTTGTCTATCGACATGAAATCTATACATTTTTGACAGCATGGTCTGAAGTTGATCTGACTCAACTTTGGTGAAAATTGGACCAGCGGTCTAGAAGGAGTTTGAAAAGGTATTTTTTAAAGAAAGTCGTACAGGAAGTTTGGCCGATTATGGGATAAATGGTATTGATGTTCTCAGCATGATCTAAGGAATCTACCAGCCTCATGACAATAGGCAAAACTAATCAAAAATGATGTATATTAATTCTAAATGTCCGAAGCCCAAAATTGCTGACATGGGACAATTGGATATCGTTTAACTTGGTATGTTTCGAAACTGTGCAGGTACCCCCACGTCATGGTTGTTATAACACACACCAAGTTTGGTTTGAATACACTAAAGCATTGTGGAGATATAGCCTCACGTCCATTTTGGCATGCTCTTCGTCAAATTCATTTGCGTGTTATTCGTTTGCGCGAGAACAGTTTGACTAATTAATTTGAATTCCATAACTTTTTGCCAGCATGGTCTGAAGATGATCATAGCTAATTTTGGTGAAAATCAGACAAACCGTCTGGACTAGTTTGAAAAAGTAGGTTTTTTGGATAATTCAAAATTTGTGAAATCTTGATCCATAAAACTGTTGATTCTGGTATGCATTCGACTCTGCATGAACCAAGGAATAATAGGAATAAAAGAATGACCATTTCAGAAGGAAAGATATTTGAGAGTTTTGGTGAGAGAGTGAAGACAAATAACAGCTTACTGCAAGGTATACACCCCAGGCATATTTAGACCACGGCATTTGAAAATGGAACTTGTAAGAAGGGTTTTTAAATACCACTGAGGGGCAACCAGGGGGCAAGAGTGTTTAAGTGTTTTATAAAGTCTAGCCAAGGCCTACTTTTGCATATCCACAATAAACATCTCATCATACGATTCCACTAGCCCTCACACTGAGGAAAATTAGGCCAGTATTTGAACTACCGAAACACTACAAAACTTCTGCCAAAACCAGTGCAGACCATAGTGGCATTCTTCACCTGCCAGTGGCTGGTGTTATTTAATTATATTGTTTGTTATCATTCTTATTATTCAAGAAGAATAAGACGAATGACAATAGCTTTCACACTAGAAAGAATGTTTCAATTAATTCCATAAAAACTTGTAAAGTCTCTTGTTTGCATGTAGAAACCACAGAGGAATGAGTCCCAGGATGGCGGTCCCTCGAGAATTCGCTGGAGTCAGACAAACACAGGCTAAAGAAACACAATTAAAACAGAAGGTTTAAATCCATGCCCATCCCTCCAACGTGAACTGTGATTTTTGAGACCTATTAAGATGCATACCAATGTTGAAATGCTATTTCATTTTCATCTCATTCTCAGTCTAGCATGAAAAAAAATGAAGGACCTAATTCTTTCACCATAACTCAAGGGTTGGCTTCATTCTGAGACTGTATTGTATTGTTAAAATGTCATCCAAGTTTTGATTTAGGAGTTACATTCAGATCACCTATGATGCATTCAAGAGGTCATTGTCTGATAATCTGCATTTTTTGTGGAGTTTTCATCTACATTAAAACTAAATACTGCCATTCCAAAAACTATGACAGCACAAGATGAGCCAACAACCTGAAATGCAAAGCTTTTGAGCAGAAACACTCTAGTGGTCTATTCTTGTTTGAGAAGGCGCAGACCCTCGTCTGGTGTTCATAATTTTTTTGATTTATGATTAATCTTAAGGGAACCATGTAGTTGTGGTTTTAATTTGCTACTTTTCCTCATACTACCACAAAAAAAAAATAGCTTCAGTGTTTTTGTGGTATGTACGCTGGATAATGTCATCCGCTTCCACTCTTCTGGGAAGGCTTGCCACTAAATGTTGGAACATGGCTGTGTGAATTTGCTCTCATTCAGACTGGAGCATCAGTGAGGTCAGGCAGTGATCTTGGGTGATGGGGCCTAGCTCAACATCACTGTTTCCATTTATCCCAAAGGTGTTTGGTGAGGCTTTGTGTACGCCAGTCAAGTTCTTCAACACCAGACTTAGTAAAGCATGTTTTGTAACACTTTATTTTAAGGTGTCCTTGTTACACATGTTACATGTACTTACTCCCATAATAACAATTAATTATGCATAATTACATGCAAGTAACCCTAAGCCAAACCAAATCCTTACCCTAACCATATAGTAAGTACATGTAGTTAATTAATATTACTCAGAACTTATATGTATAATTACACTGTAACAAGGACACTTTAAAATAAAGTCTAACCGCATTTTTAATGGACAACACATTACACACAGGGACATTGTCATACTGGGACAAAAAAGGACTCTTCAGAAATGGTTGTCTTTAGTTTGGCCTGAATGTTAAATACTTCATAAAATAATAACAGTAGGATTTCTAGAGCACATTAGATGAGCAGGGAGATTAGGGATTGGGAGTCGACTCCAAAAGAGTCGATTCCTCGACTCTGGAATAGCTCGGAGTCGACTCCAGCACTGGAATCGACTCTCATTGTACGTCGACTCCGAAATCGCTGATGTCTTCACTGATTCTCAAATCTGCCTGGGATTTGAGTGCAGTATATCAGCAAAGCGTTTTGCAGTAAATAACCGTTTGCAGTAGGCTATCACAAACAATTTAAAACTTACCATTGACAGAAACAGCCGTATCGTGCATTTTCTTTTGCATTATCCTTATTACAATCCTGCTGGGTCATAAAGATTGTTTTTCTAATTCCACGAGTGCCATCTATGTTGCCATTTTTATACTTTTTCCTTGCTTTACCCATATAGCTAAAAAGCGGTGTTAAAAAAATAGACTTTAGGCCTACTTATTTGCATTTAAAGTGTAATTAATACATTTAGTATCAATCCATGTTTATTTTTACCGTAAGCAATGCGCTGTCACGTTAATTCAGCGTGTGCAGCACAGCAAAAATAGACTCGGATGCGGAAACTCTTGGTAAATGATCACTGCGATGATAGACAAACAAGAATAAACAAATCGATACGTTTATATTCGTATGTATTTTTGTATGTATTGCATTTATTTTTAATATCATTTAAAATTCCCTAACCCCTGACCATTATAATGTGACGAATTCATTAACAGAACACCTTATTAATCCTGACATAATATTCCACCACGGCTTTTCCCCCTCAGTTTTCCCTCTGTAAAATTAGGTGTCGGCAACAGCTAACAACATTGATGATAGCTCATTTAAAGGTAGTGTTACCACCACTAAACTGGACTAATTTGGACAGTCACGCTAAATGGAGTCGATTCCATCGACTCCTATGGTGGGAGTCGGGAGTCGGAGTCGAATCCGAAAAACCTGGAATCGAACACCCCTAAGGGAGATGTCTAGCTCTTAACCACTAAAGAAAGGCAACAGACAAGTCCAAAGTAAGCTGTATGGAAGATGTTGAATTGATTTGTAATTTACTTGTCAAAGTTTTGACAGAACTGATGATTACAGTCTGCTCCTGCTCTCACTAGGAAAATAAGAATGCAAGTTACTGCATAATTCAAAAGCCAAAAGCAACAATATTCCTGCAACTCACCAACACATTTACTATGAGACAACCGTATCATTTAATGTATTAAGAAGCACTTTGTAGAAAGCTGAACATTTTCTTCAAACTATTCAGTATTTGGGTCTTTAGATGTTGAGTCATGGGCATACAGACAGTAAATTGTTGCGGGCTTCTATTCAAAGTCCCCCTTTGGCAAATGCAGTGTTTAAATTATATGTTTGTCAAATTGGAGAACAAATAATGCAGGAACAGACAGTCTCAGCTTTGACTCATCTCTGTGCAAAAACTCGATGCTATTCGATCATTATGACTGTATGCACGAGAGATGATTTGTTCTCGGTCTTCCTTTGTTTTAATGGGAGTGTAATGGCCTCTGTGTCGCAACAACCTCACACCGGTCATAAGAACAAATTGCTATCGTTAAACATCACAGCAGCATTTCTGCACTTAACATTAGGCAGGCTTTGCATAACTGCATATTATGAACCTGTTGAATGTGTTTTCACATGTCGTTCTCCTCTAGTGGAATGACTTGTTTGCAGATTATATAACTGAGAACAGACTTCTGCTTCCCACCTCATCTGACTCATAAATTCATCACACTGGACTGAATCCAGGACTGTACCACTGCACGCAACCTGGCAAACGTTCCTTTGCCACAAAGCATTTCCTGTCATTTAATTGACCTTTTTTTTTTTTTTTTTTTTTTAGTATTGCTAAAATGTTTTGTCGCTGACCTCTCTCTTCATTTAAAAGTCTTATTCTAGACCATTTCATAACAATAGAGTGGAGAGTTTTACAGTGACCATCTGTCCAGATCACTGTTCATACAAGTGCATTTCAACAACCACACATACACTAGAAATAAAGAAGCACTGCCATCTAGAGTCAGAATCTGACAGGGTTGAAACTACTTTCCTTCCAGAGATAGTCAGCATATAGGCAAGAGAGACGTTTAATATGGTTTATAATCACTATACTAATTTGCAAGGTCTTCAGTCTTCTTGCATAGCAATTTTACTGGTTAGTAAACCAGGTGTTTGGCCTACAGCTGTTAGTTCTCTGAATGTATGGATCATTAAGGTGATTTTCCAAAAACCTTTCTTTTCAAATTCCATTTGTCCACTCTCATGGCTTATAGACCCATGCAGTCACTTTCAGAACACAGCAAACTAAAGGACTAAGATAATCCTAGTGCTTTGAGAAACTCATTCCTTGGCTAACTGCTGATAAAACGTACGTTCTATTTAGGTGGACAGTGGCGTCGTTTACAACATGAGGAAACGATGAGAAAAAGGCATAATGAACTTTAAATCAACTGAAAGCAAAAATCAAGTGATGAAACATTTCATTTATTGAGTAAAAACATTTTCAATTCACAACATATGAATCACACATAATTACTGCAGAAATGAGTTTTCAGAGACACTTCATTGAATTAGAAAGTTCAACAATTTTGTTTGCTTGCCATTAATAACAGAACCTGTGAAAGTAACAACATACAGGCTACATATTGTGGTAATACCCACCCAAGCATCTTAGCATTATTTTTGGCTTACTCTCTTCAACAATTGTGTTTCTCACGCCACAAAACGCAGGCAAGACTTTTAAACAAACGCCATGTAAAAGCACTGAATGATGAAAAGACACATTGTGTGAGCTAGTCACCAAAAGTCAACTGAAAAAAGTTCTTCTGCTGAGTTAGTAAAGTCACAGGCGGTTTGCAGACACTTCAGTGCTCCGACGCACAGGTAACAGTCCAGTCCAAACGTTACCCTCAGGTTCAAGACAGTCCGAGAAGCTAGTGGATATTATTTCTTAAGGAGGCTGTTAATTGCTTTAATCTCATCACTGCTCAGAGGAGAAAGGTTGTATCCTCTGAGTTCAGGCTTACCTGTGCAAGAAACAATTCGAAGCAGAAAAGATTAGATGCACTGATATCTACTAACATTGTATGACACTGCCAGTAAATATAGGGTAATTAGGGGCTATAGATATTTACTACACACGGACTTAAAGATGATATTTTATATGTGACAAATTATGAATGAATCAGGCAGATAAAGCAGCTCTACCTTGCAAGTCATTGAGACGATTTACTTTTGCTTTTAGTCGTTTGCGGAGGTCAGTTATTTCCTTGTCAAGCTGCTCATGGTCTGTTGGGAACAATATAACAGCAAGAGGCCAAGTAAACACAGAGACCAGTCTAAATGTATTATTTGGACAAAATATGGCTGAAGGCGGCACACTCACCTTTAAGGATCATGGATCTGGTACTCTCTTGAGGGAATTTGATGAACATATTTCCAAAACACACCTTCACATTATCTAGATTAGATTGATTACACTTTATTGTCATGAGAGGCATCAAATCAGCATCCAATAGTGCAAACAGCAATAGACGTTTTAAACATATGGTATAAATGCACATGGTTTCATGTATACATAACCAGGTGCGGTAAAGTTGGTTTTATGTTGGACATTCGTTAGACATTCACTGAGCAAATTAAGGGACTGTATCAAAAGTGCATAAAAAAAAAATTAAAAAAAAAGATTGAAACATGCAATGCATCATGCAAATAAAATATAAAGATGTGAATTAAGTGAAAAAAACAATACATAATTTTAAGCTGTGAATGGGATATTCACTATGAATTGTTACATTGTTATTACACTGTACTCCAACGATTTCTTTTAACTGGTAGAAACAGGCGTTAGTAAACTTTATTTAACATAACAGCCATTAATGCACAAATTAGATGTATTACATAAATGCCTGATATGCAGTTTATGCACCTTGGCTCAAAGAAATTGAGACGAACTCACGGAGTCACGTAAGATAATCCATCAAGTCCTGTGTCCCAATAAAGACGTGAAAGACATGAAAGACTGCTAATTTTCAACACTTTTTTTAAGATGACTGAAAGGAGGAAAAACCAAAGTGAAGTATGGACTTACTTCACTCAGTCATTTATTTACTTTATAACAGTAAATAAATATCGGTTCTGCATATCGGGCACATAAACACGCAAATAATTGGTATCTGTTATAAAATATCAATATCGGTCGATCACTACCTGTAATATATTCAGTAACACTTCAGACACATCATACATGACTTGGATTTTGGAAATATAATTGTGTATTTTTGGTGAATTTTTCAATTATTCAAATCTATATAACTTCCTGGTCATGTGACCCAATGATGTCACACCAGTTGTAATATCTTCACACAATCCTGTCACACATCATACCTTTCAAATAAATTGGATAAAGAACTGTATTAATAAGCCCTCATCTATAAGGAATCTGAATCTGTTATTTTTTTCCAAACTAGGAGGTTTAAGTTTCTTATTAATGTGTAATTATATCCCTATCAAATTATCCCTTTTTCATAGGCAATTGTTATTAGCTTGGTTGGATTCTGGAAATATAATTTTGTGTATTTTTGGTGAATTTCTGAAATATTCAAATCTATATACACTGTAAAATCCAATAGTTTACCTTACTTAGATTTAATTAGTTATCTTTACTTCGTTGTTATACTTACTAGGTTTTATTCAGTTACAGCTACTTTCAAGGCAAATAAAACTATTTACTTACTGTTTGTGCGACACTTACTTAAAATATTTAAGTAGCCACAAAGGAACCAATTGACATTAATAAACCAGTGAGAGGCAGCAGTGCACTAATATGTTGCTAATGTGCAACATAACAACAGAAGAAGAAGAAAAGGAGATCTTTCACTAGTTTCATTCACTCGTTTCCTAAAGTCATCTTGAATGTTGCCTTTTCAATGCAACTGAAATATTTGAGAGAACATCACATAAGCTAACTTCATAAATTTATGTTGATTTTCCTAAAATGTGTTTTTTTTTTTAAACTCACCATTAGTGATAAGCATTCCCTTTGGTTGGGCACTTGGAACTTTGTTTATGTTTCTATAATTATCTTCCTGTTAATGCAGTAATGCATCATGAAGTCAGAGTAATTTGATTTCAAGGGAAGAAAAGTAATAAATAGGTTGCTTTTAGAAGGTGACCTATCTTCTAATTAAAGCATTTGTGTTTTTTTATGTGAGTGTTTATTAATGAACTTTTTCAAATTTCATTTTTCATAAACACCTTGAGATGCTTTAAATTGAGTTTATATAATCCTTAAATAGTGTGTGGTAATATGCTAAAGTCACACACAGACTTAAACATTCAGCACACGAATCACAACAATGATAACAATTCAATTTCATTTATTTTCATTACTTGTAACAATAACCATTTTATTTGCTCTTTTTGTTGTGCTACTACTGACACAAGACAGCAAATAAAATTGGCAAATAAAATCAACAACTGTAAAACAAAGCAACTGTATAATTTATTCATGCCGCAATGCACTCTGGGAGTCAGCGAGTATCTATACTAAGTCATGAGTAAACCTAAATGAAAGGATAAAGTACCCCCTACAGTTCTTTTTTAGTTACCAGAACTCTCGTGTAAGTAAACTATACTAACTAAGCATTTGTCAGTACAACATACTATTCCTATTTCACTTTACTTAGTTTACTTAGGCAATCGGTTTGCATGCTTTTTTTAAGTAAGCCCAACTAATTAGATTTTACAGTGTATG